TTAAAAAAACTCTATAAACGCAACTCTGAAACCCAAAAACTGAACCCTTTAAGCCCCAAACCCCAAACCCTAAAGGTTTAGCGTTTTAGGGTTTACCCTGCCTTTGTGTTGCCTCAGGGCTTAGGGTTTGGGATTCGAAACCCGCGTAAGCTGGAAACCCGAAATCGCCGCACCTCAAGAAAGCCATGTGGGGGTTTGCGAAAATAGGGATACCTGCTTGGGGTCCTTACTTTAAGAGAATCCTCCTATTTGGGAGATCTATATTTGGCTAAACCCTAAACCCTAACCCTAAACCCTAAACCCCAAACCCCAAACCCCAGACCCTAAACCCTAAACCCTACACCCCCCATCGTGCCACCAAAGCTTCGGGTTTTGGTGCAGTAGCCCTCCTCGAGGAAGGGGAGTGATGCTGCCACTTCCTCCTGGCCCTGGACCAGCAAGCCGGACCTCCGAGGGTTTAGGGTTTAGGGTTTAGGGTTTAGGGTTTAGGGTTTAGGGTTTAGGGTTTAGGGTTTAGGGATTAGAGCAAGCCGGACCTGCGAACACTTCGGGGCTTCCCAGAATACGGAGAATTTGCTTTGGGTGGCTCCCCTCAACCCTAAACCCTATAAACCCTATAAACCCTATAAACCCTATAAACCCTGAAACCCTATAAACCCTATAAACCCTATAAACCCTATAAACCCTATAAACCCTATAAACCCTATAAACCCTATAAACCCTATAAACCCTATAAACCCTATAAACCCTATAAACCCTAAAAACCCCAAACCCTGTAAACCCTAAACCCTATAAACCCTAAACCCCAGAAACCCTTAACCTCTCGACCCCAAGCCCGAGAATAGAATGAGAATGGTTTACTATTCCTGATTGAACCCTAAACCCTAAACCCTATAGACCCTAAACCATTGGTTTAGGGTTTATTAGAGGCCTCAAGGCTGGCGTCGGTGAAGAGGGTGGAGGGGGGAGGGTTTGGGGGGGGGAGGGGAGGGGAGTCTCAATAACAGCGAAAGCATTGGAGCACTCAGTATGAATCAAGGTGCATTTTGAGAATCCAGGGGGTATTAACCTCTGTGATGTCTGACATGATGCTTGTCTTGGAAATGCACCTTTACCGGGCTGCTCAACCTCAACCCCAAACCCTCAACACAACCCCCAAACGTGCGGTGCAGGTGCTGGTAGGGGGCGGGGGGGGGGGAAATGCGGATTTCTCAGAACACTCACCCAGCACCCAACGAAGGGCGAAATCAGAAAAGCGCGGCTTGGACCCCTAAACCCTAAACCCCAAACCCCCAAACCCCCAAACCCCCAAACCCCCAAACCCTAGACCTTACCAACTTCCCTGGGAGCTGAGTCTCAGACAAGAGGGCCACGGCCAGCAAGCGGAGCGGCCCCATCCCGACCCAGCTCCCGAAATCCCCTTTCCGCACCTCAAACCCTGAAGCCCTCCAAACTATATAGGTAATTGCAACAAAAGGCCGCCGCCAAAAACGTGCTTGTCCAAGATTGATACCTACTATTACATTACTCGTGCTAATGCGCGATAGAACTATGGCTAACTCGGCCCATCTACAGGCAGATTTGCTCAACAAGACCGGTGGCAGGCGCTTGCGAACCCTACAAAACCTTAAAACCCTCGAGTCCTAAGCTTGAGCTTTGTCCGCCAAACCCTAAACCCTAAACCCTAAACCCTAAACCCTAAACCACTCTGCACTACCAGGTTGTCGTCCTGAACCATGGGCTGCGGGTGCAACAACAGAGCCCTGGCTGCGGCTTGGGGTTTAGGGTTTAGGGTTTAGGGTTTAGGGTTTAGGGTTTAGGGTTTAGGGTTTAGGGTTCAATCAGGAATATACCTTAAATCATACTAATAAGATCCCTGTAGAGTCCAAGGTTGCGTTATACTTTTTATTCCTTAATTACGGGGTTTTGGGCTCTCTGAGAGGGGGCTGGCAGGGTTTGGGGTTTAGGGCAGACGGATTTAGGGTTTAGGAGTTTCAGGGTTGTGGTTTCGAACAGCCCCACATGGCTTGCACATCGCCCAAGAGTTCCGCTCATTTTCGTCGACTCTCTTCTGGGTCATTCTTGCATGACGGCGTGAGTGAGACGAAACATCCTCTTTGCACACGAGGCCGACAGCACAAGATGAGCTGGTGAGTGATGCCCTAAACCATGTATGGCTTAATCTGCCGAAGCCCTGAAGCAAAACCAACAATACCCCACTGAATCTAAACCGGAGGAGTTCAAAGGGCAGTAGACCTTATATACACCAAACCTTCAACCCTAAACCCTATAACCCCAAACCTTAAACGCTGAAGCCTAAACCCTCTTCAGGATCAACTCTCTCTGCTTGTTACGCATCGCCGTAACGTCGCGGCTCGGTTGACAGCGGCTCCTTTGTGAGGGATGGGGTTAGGGTTTAGGGTTTAGGGTATAGGGTTCAGGGTTTCGGGGTTAGGGTTTAGGGTTTAGGGTTTAGGGTTTAGGGGTGTTGAGAGCTAATCCTAATCAAGAGCTTCCTGATCTCCGGTTGAGAACTTCTCTTGAAGATCAATCCCTCACGCTCCAAGTCAGCCCAAAGTTGGCTCTCTGTATGGACTTTAGACCCCAACGTAGGCATGATTTGAATTAGGGTTTTTTAGGGTTTAGGGTTTGCGGCTTAGGGTGTAGGGTGTATAGGGTTTAAGGTTTAAGGTTTGCGCCTAGACCCAAACTGCGGGTGATTGCTTTGACGTGCGTGGATTTCGATGTGAAAACCCTGGGTTGGATAGTGGAAGATGAAGTAGGGTTTAGGGTTTAGGGTTTAGGGTTTAGGGTTTAGGGTTTAGGGTTTAGGGTTTAGGGTTTTAGGCTCAGGGTTCAGGGTCTCGGGGTCCAGGAACTAACGGTTTGGGACTAGGGGGTTGTGTTTGGGTTTAGGGTTTCGGGTTGAGGAATTGAAGGTTTGGGTTGGGGAACTTGGTGTTTAGGAACTTGTGGTTTATAGGGTTGAGGCTCTAGGGCTTATAGAAGGGTTTGGGTCTAGGAACTGCTGTTTAGGGCAAGTTTTTAGGGGTTCAGGGCTTGTTTGTCTGAATCCCGGGCTGCCTGGGACCTTGACAACGGCCAGACGTAGACATGCAAGAAGGGGGTAGGGCTAGGGTTTAGGGTTTTGGGTTCTGGGGGTTGGGCTTGCTAACCCGATGATTACGTCGAAACAGGATTCCTGCGACCTCCGAAACGGAAACAAACCTGTAAGCACCCAAACCCCCATGCCGAAAATACATGGCAGAAGAAGAAGAAGAGCAAACAAACGCCCCAAAAAGCCGACGCTTGCAGCCTGAAGCTCGAAACCCCATAGTTAGCTGGACCCTGAGGATATAGCCCCAATGGTTACAAGCATCTCCCCCAACATTGTAGGCAAATCGCCTGAACTCAAAAATCCCAACCCCCCCCCCCCCCCCACCCACCCACCCCACCCCACACCACCCCCACATTTCATGTCATCTTACTTCGCAGCTCACGAGTAGAATATGCGAAATCGTACAACACAACCAAACGTATCATGAGAACCAAGAAAAACTTAAACCCATCCAAACCACCCTACGCCCCCACCCCCGCCTCGAACCCTAAACCCTGAACCCTGAACCCTGAACCCTAAACCCTAAACCCTAAACCCTGAACCCTAAAGCCGAAACCCCAAACCCTAAACCCTGACCCCCCCCCCCCCCCCCTCCCCAACAAAAAAAAAACGTAGGCAACTGAAGGCCCAGGTCGAATGGTCCAGGGCCGCCGCGCCGTGGGCAGCGGCTCAGGTGGACCAGAGCTTGAACCTTTGGCGAAGCATTACTTGGAGGTTTGGGGTTTAGGGTGTAGGGGTGTTAGGGGTTTAGGGGTTTAGGGCCAGTTTAGGGGTTTTGGGGGGTTTAGGGGTCTAGGGGTTTAGGGGTTTAGGTATTTAGGGTTGAGGGGTTTAGGGTTTAAGATTTGCGGTGCTCATAACCCAGTTATCGCTGCGCGTTTGCTACCGCGGTGTGGGGTTGTTAGAGTATAACTAAACTCTTCTCCTCGCCCGGTCTCTCGCCCATCACCCATCAGGGGGAGAACCTTTGCGGGATTATGTTCAAGATCGACATACTTAAGCATTGCGTAATGTGTGGCAGGGCCGTTCATTTGTGGGTTTGTGGCTGGGCCTCTGTAACCCTACATATATATATATATATATATAGAAAAAAGTGTGTTTTGTGTGTGTGTGTGTAGATGTGCTGAACCTTGGCTGAGCTAGGCACTTGCCCTCGTTGAACTTCTCGACCGGGTAGAACGCTGCACAAACCTCGGGGACATGGACTCACTGAGGGCTGGGCGGTATAGGCGGAGTAGGGTTGCGGGTTTAGGGTTTAATTGTTAGGGTTTAGGGTTCAGGGTTCAGGGTTCAGGCTTTTGATGCGGTCGAAGGCGCCAAAGCGGCTTGCCCAGCCGAGACCATACCCCGCATGTAACCATGAGTAACTTAAACCCTCAAACCCTCAAACCCTCAAACCCTCAAACCCTCAAACCCTCAAACCCTCAAACCCTAAACCCTAAACCCCCTTCTTTCACATTGCACAATCACCCCCTTCTGCTCTTCTTCGTTTTTGCTGCAAGCGAAGCGCAAGCTGTGAGAAAGAGTGCCATGTCTCAGGGTTCAAGGTCTAGGGTTTGGGTTTTCGGGCTTACCCTAAACCCTAAACCCTAAACCCTAAACCCTAGACCCTAAACCCTAAACCCCAAACCCTAAACCCTAAACCCTAAACCGCAACAGGGTTGTAAGTTTTCAGCATCGGTTTGCAGGACTGACCAGGCTGCAGGATGCCTTCAGCTGAGCTTGAACCCAGGGGTTTGAGGTCTGGGGCTTAAACGTCTAGGGACCTAAGCCCTTTTAGGGTTTAGGGTTTAGGGTTTAGGGTTTAGGGTTTAGGGTTTAGGGTTTAGGGTTTGGGGCTTAAGCCCCTTCATGACTGTCATCTGTCATGACTTCATTGCTTTCATGGCCAAGGGACAACCCTGTTCTCAAACTTCCGGCCGTTGGCGTCCATCTGGAACTTTCTTGCCGCTGTCAGGTCCTACAGAAAAGGATAGCGAGAGAACTCTTCACGAATCACGGGTCTCCGAAATTAACCCTAAACCCTAAACCCTGAACCCTGAAAACCTAAAGTTTAGGGCCTAAACCTAACCCAAGGATGGACCTCATTTCATAGCGAGGACACCCCAACATAGCTAGTTCTTTCAACAATGCACACAGTGGAGGTACAACTGAATACCAGGCACCGTATTCCGCACAATAGGGGCCCCCCGAAACATAGGAGACACAACTTGGAACAGCCCGACACCGTATTCTACAAACCAGGAGCCCAAACATGGGAGACACAATGTAGGAACCCTAAACCCTAAACCCTATATACAGTTTAAGGTATAGTTCTTAGGATGTTCCCCCTTGTATTAGCAGTCCTGAAAAGGGATGATAATTAGGGGGGGGGGGGGTACTATAATCCCCATTAAGGACTGTTAGTATAAGGGGGAACATCCCAATATACTTCCAACTAGGAGGTGCTGGGCTCCCCTGAGAAACTCCAAGGCACCCTGAACCCTAAACCCTAAACCCTAAACCAGCGCTCCGAAAACGCGACGAAGATCTTGCCCACGCCGTCGACATAGGCGCCGTCCTGGCGCTTCTGGTTGAATTAATTCTTATACAGACGGGTTTGTAGCATTTGCTGGGTTAGTGGGGTTTACAGGATTTATAGGGCTTGCAGGTTTATAGGCTATACAGGGGTTATAGGGTAGAGGGTCTAGGATGTAGGGTATAGGGTTGATTGTTCAGCCGCTTGTGAGTTCTCTTCGTGTAATTACGATTCTGCAGGGAACCATCCGCTACCAGGGTGAGCTGCGGTCAGTTGCAACCGGGCGTCTTAAACTTGCGAGCTTCCCTGAGCCTTGAGACCTACCCTAAAAGCCCTAAACCCTGAACACCCTCAACCCCCAAAAAGTACCCCACTTAAAACAGCACACACCTAAAAGCCCAAAGAACCCGAAAACCTCCAAGCACCCCAAATCCCCTGAAAAAACACCAAAAAGGGCCCAAAAGCAACCATAAATTGAATACCCTAAACCCTAAACCCTAAACCCTAAACCCTAAACCCTAAACCCTAAACCCTAAATAAACCCTAAACTAAGCTCTTGAAGCCCGAAGCCCTGGAAGGCCCAGGTCACAGCAGCGCCTTGGCGGGCTTCGGAATGACTACTCGCATCACGTTCCCGTGCTTCGACGCCTGCCATGGCTAGGGCATGTAGAGGTCTCGGGGTTTAGGGTTTAGGGTTTAGGGTTTGGGGTTTGGGGTTTAGGGCTAGGGGTGTAGGGTTTAGGGATTGAGGGATTTAGGACCCCAAAGACCATAATCCTGAACCCTGTAGCGTTTATAGGGCTTGGGCAGCGCAAGGCAAAAACTGCAAACTTCAAACCCTCAGCCCTAACGACCCTAAACCCTAAGCTCGCAATCCGCTAGCCACCCGACCAGGGTTCATGTTTCAGGGTTCAGGGTTCAGGGTTCTTGGTTCAGGGTTCAGGGTTCAGGGTTCAGGGTTTAGGGTTTAGGGTTTAGGGTTTAGGGTTTAGGGTTTAGGGTTCATTTTGGGTTTTGGGTTTAGGGTTTGGGGTTTGGGGGTTAGGGCTTTGGGGGTGCCCTAAACCCTTGCCGCCATTTCCCTTCAAAGCCTCGAACCTGCATGCCTCTAGATTCTTGGATAGACGCTCCCTTTTGCGGACCCTTAGGACACCTACCAAAAAAACGGACCCTAAACCTCAAAACCCTAAACCAAGCATTTTTTTTTGGGGGGGGGATTCTTGAAGTAGAGAGTGTAGACTGGATTACTTCGGACCTCCGGCAAGGTACTTGATTTCATGTCTTTAGGCTTTAGGGTCTGAGGGTGCACGCAGGCTTCGGGATGAATGTTACTTTGCAGGGTTTAGGGTTTAGGGTTTAGGGTTTAGGGTTTAGGGTTTAGGGTTTAGGGTTTAGGGTTTCTCAGGTGATCCCAAACCCGAGCTGGTGCCTCGCCGTGAACTTCTGCAGTGATGTCATCGTAGTCCTGATCGTCCATGAGGTCCTCCACAGAGGTTGCGGGTGTTACGCATGGAGGCGTCGGGATTGGGGGTGTTTAGGGTTTAGGGTTTAGGGTTCAGGGTTTAGGTTTAGGGTTAGGGTTTAGGGTTTAGGGTTTAGAGTCTAGGGTGTAGGGTTTAGGGTTTAGAGTTTAGGGTTTAGGGTTTGGGCCCAAAAGCCTCTGAGACCCAAGCAGGGTCAGTCGGGGGTGAAGCACTGAGGGTCGAGGATTCCAGGGGGAAGGGGGGGTTGGGAGGATGGGCCATTCTACCTAATTCTACCCTACAAAGGTTTAGGGTTTAGGATTTAGGGTTTGGGGTTTAGGTAGCATTCTACCGGACTCTATCCTACTATCATGAAAAAACAAGGGGGAGTCTGAACCTGGAATTCGGGAATTTGCGACCCTTTTTTTGACCACTGAAAGGGTTCTATCGGGCGAAGTAGGCCACCGAAGCCCCGAATTACCGAATGAAACCCGAAACAATACACCCTAAACCCGAAACCCAAACCCTAAACCCTAAACCCTAAACCCTAAACCCTAAACCCTAAACCCTAAACCCTAAACCCTAAACCCTAAACCCTAAACCCCAAATCCAGAAGAGGATGCCCAAGGCCGCCTCGGTCCCCAGGAGCCCCAGCCTTCTCTTACAGGGTTAGCCTGGGGCCCTGAGGGTCGCTTGAACCCGACCCAAAAAAAATCAAAAGCCCTAAGCCTGCACCCTAAACCCTAAACCCTAAACCCTAAACCCTAAACCCTGAACCCTAAACCCTGAACCCTAAACCCTAAACCCTAAACCCTGCCCTGACCCTCCAGTCGACGTCTTGCCGCCTCCTGGTACACAGCGTTGATGAGCTGCACCACAGTGCTGGGCCGAGAGCCAATCTGACGGGATCTTGAGTTCAGGTCTCCTAGCCCTAAACCCTAAACCCTAAACCCTAAACCCTAAACCTTTTGAAGACCTCTGGGTAACCCTCAACCTTCACGCGTAAACCCTCGGAGGGCATGCCCAGGCTTGGACTTTGAGGGGGCCTGCGGTCTGTGTCGAGGAGCACTTGGAGGTTCATGGGTAAGAAGGACCCTATGCGTAACCATAGCTGCCCTGCATATAACCCTGAACCCTAAACCCTAAACCCTAAACCCTACATCCATGAACCTTCAAGCAGACTTGTTGAAGGGTTTAGGGTCTCGCGCTGAGGGGGGCTATATAGGGGGCATGGAGGGCTCAGTCGCCTCTGCGCAAGGCCGTTGTGGAGAGAGTGTGGGAGATGCATGTATAAATATATGTGTACATGTATGTATATGTATACATATATATATATATATATATATGTGTACATGTATGTATATGTATACATATATACACACATATACATAAGGCCTCTTTGGGAGGCAGAAGCCTGAAGAACTCACTAGACACATTGAAAATGAGGGGGCCCCCACATGGCCCCTCAATAAAGGTGGTCTAGGGGAGATTCAGAGTTTCCGAAACTAGGGGTACCTTCTGGGGGTCCTTGTTAGAAGGGAATCATACTATTTGGAGGTCGTGTCCGGGGCATGAGGTATCGATGGCCGGCATCGGTGCTTTGTTGGGGACGGGCAGAATGATTCAGATTCTCGCAAGAGGCGCCGCAGGAAAACCCTAAACCCTGAACCCTAAACCCTACTCCCTAAACCCTAAACCCTAAACCCTAAACCCTAGACCCTAAACCCCAAACCCTAGACCAGGCCTCTCTTCCCTGCTTGACCTGCATGGCTAAGACCGGATTCTTCACGATCTTCTGAGTCATCGAGTTGGGCATTGCCTCTCCGGGGCGGTTTCGGCTTTAGGGCTTAGGGCTTAGGGCTTAGGGCTTAGGGCTTAGGGCTTAGGGCTTAGGGCTTAGGGCTTAGGGCTTAGGGCTTAGGGCTTAGGGCTTAGGGCTTAGGGTTTCAGGGTTTAGGATTCAGGGCTCATCTGCTGTCAAGTTCTTTGCGCGGACGTGATCGGCACTGGAAAGTTGCTTGCGCCCCCGCCGTGGCAGCAACCGGCTGCGGCTTCGTGGTAGCAGCCGTAGATTGCTGGCCTCAAAGGCTCTGCAGGGTTTAGGGTTTAGGGTTTAGGGTTGAGGGTTTAGGGCTGAAACCCCACCCTACAGTCCCAAGAAAGCCCTAAACCCTAAACTCTACACCCTTGTATCCTGCAGCCTCCTTTTTGTAGGGCAAGATTACAACACCCCCTTCTACGTAACCCGGAAGCATGTAGGTTCTTAGGCACTCCTCCGGAGCCCACAAAAAAACACGGTTTAGGGTTTAGGGTTTAGGGTTTAGGGTTTAGGGTTTAGGGTTTAGGGTTTAGGGTTATTCCCACCCTGGACCCCTTCCCCCTACCCCTCCCAGGCGCCGATGAAAACTGTTGGACGGCATTGAAAACATGTGCCTTCGCGTGTGACACGCCGCCGCCCCACACCGAGGCGAGGACTTACTGCCGCTGCGCGGCCCTAACCCCTAAACCCTAAAACCCCTCGGGGGGGTTTAGGGTTTAGGGTTTAGGGTTTAGGGTTTAGAGTTTAGCCTTAATTCCCAAATAGGAACCCATGCAGCCCTGGCATGCACGCCACGCCACCACCAACACAAAGGAGATCTTAGGGCCTGGTGAGCCCTCAACCCCATAAACCCTAAACGGGGTTCAGGGTTTAGGGTTTAGGGTTTAGGGGTTTAGGGTTTAGGGTTTAGGGTTTAGGGTTTAGGGTTTAGGGTTTAGGGTTTAGGGTTTAGGGTTTAGGGTTTAGGGTTTAGGGTTTAGGGCTTCAACCTTCAACCCTAGACCCCAACTCCAAGCCCAAAAACCCCAGGATGTCATGATATGAACGAGCTCTTTAGATCAGGTTGCCTTCTTGGGCCCCAGAAACCAAGATTCAGCGAAGCCACCTCGTAGGTAGCTAGGGTTTAGGGTTTAGGGTATAAGGTTTAGGGTTAGGGCAGTTTTCGGACATCTCTCAGGCTTCGGGGTTTAGGGTTTAGGGTTTAGGGTTTAGGGTTTAGGGTTTAGGGTTTACCCATCTATACCTTGAATTTGGGGGAGAAGCTGCGACTGAGGCAAGGGCCCAGCTTCTGTACTCGGATGACGTTCTGACCACATACCTTGGTACCCCAGTCATATTATCATAAGGGCACCCTTTTTTGGTTGGTTAATTTCTAAGGGAAACTTAAACCAAAACAAAAAGGGAAAAGGGTACCACTGTGCTACCAAGACACAAAACCGTTGAGGGCCACGATTGCCAAATCCACATCATTTGGATTGTCGTACCTGAGGCACATGAGCTGGGGCTTATGGTTAAGGTTTAGGGTTTAGGGTTTAGGGTTTAGGGTTTAGGGTTTAGGGTTTAGGGTTTAGGGTTTAGGGTTTAGGGTTTAGGGTTTAGGGTTTAGGGTTTAGGGTTTAGGGTTTAGGGTTTAGGCTTTAGGCTTTAGGCTTTAGGGTTTAGGGTTTAGGGTTTAGGGTTTAGGGTTTAGGGTTTAGGGTTTAGGGAGCGGGGTTGAGCCATCGAGAGCTTCACAACCCTAACCCTAAACCCTGAACAATAAACTGTTATGCCACTGCATGATCTAAGGAACCTGCTCACCGAGATGTTCTCCAGGGCTTGTTAGGTCTTATTTGGGCTTATTAAGCCCTTATTTGGGGAATATGGGCCCGCTCACCATAAACCCTAAGCACCGCCCTCAGAAGCAGGCTTGCGCGTCAAACATAGGCAGACGCAACCAAGCCCTAAACCCTAAACCACCCTTCCACCCCTCCTGGTTCCTCACGATCTACCGCATCTGCGTTGATCCCGAAACTTCGGTAACCGTTCTCAGCCCCCACATCGCAGGTAGGCTTGGGCTTAGGTAATGAGGGTTTAGGGTTTGGGGTTTAGGGTTTAGGGTTTAGGGTTTGGGGTTTAGGGTTTAGGGTTTGGGGTTTTGGAGCTCTGCCGGTGGCTCAGGCGCTGGCTCGAAGATCCCGTAGCCTTTGATCTTGCCAGTGCCCAAGTCTCGGATAAGACTGAGCATCCTGGATAGGGTCTAGGGCTTACGGCGGGTTTAGGGTTTACGGCTAGGGTTTAGGGCTAGGGTTGAGGGCTTGCGGTTTTGTTGGGCTTTCGGGGGTGTCGGAGCAAAATGCTTGTCACATCGATTGCTTAAGCTGCCTTTTTGGCAGGGACCTTAAGAGGCACCATAACTGGGAGACAAAAAAGGATATATTACTCTGTTGAATGAGCGTGTCCTGCTTGGAGAGGTTTAGGGTCGAGGGCTTGCTGGCTGGGGTCTGGGGTTTTTGGGAGGGTCAGATTCTGCACCCTGATCGGCGCCCAGCCCATCGGCGCCCAGCCCCCGGCAAGAAAGACTCAAGCCTGAACCCAAACTCCAGATTGTGTCCCAAAGATGCTGGGTTTCGGGAGGTTTCGAGGCTGAAGAACCTGAGCCCCAAAAGCCGCAAAATCGACATGAACCCTCCAACCTCCGGCCCTGAACCCTAACTAACCCCTTAACCCTAAACCCTCAACCCTCAACCCTAAACCCTAAACCGTCAAACACAACAAGCCTCCAACTATATGGGTCTCACAGCCGTGTAACAAGTTGAGCGAGCTGATCAGGGCTTAAGGTTTCGCATCCTAACAACCCTAGGCCCTAAGCCCTAAACCCTAAAGCCTCAACCCTAAACCCTAAACCGCAGTATTTGTTACCGCAGGAGTGCCAGTCGATGTGCTGTTTTGGGGCGAGCGCGCCTGAGCTTGCCAAACTGGCTCAGCAGATCTCGGCAGATTTGCTCTGTCATCACCTGCCGCTGTGCCCCAAAACCTAAAGCCTATGCCCTACACCCCCCACCCGAAAGCCTGCGCCCTAGTCCCTAAACCCCCCAAACCCGATCCCGAAAGCCTGAACCCTGAAGGATTCAGGCTTCAGGGCCTAAGGTTCAGGCTCAAAGAATCAGGCCCCCGAGGATGTGGGCTTGCGCTGTTGGGACTCGGGGTTTAGGGTTTAGGGTTTAGGGTTTAGGGTTTAGGGTTAGAATGATCCGAAGTATCGGCCCTTGGGTTGGGTCCCCTGTTATAACCCTTATATACACTGTACACAAAAAGGGCCCATATTTAGGGTTAGGGTTTAGGGTTTAGGGTTTAGGGTTTAGGGTTTAGGGTTTAGGGTTTAGGGTTTAGGGTTTAGGGTTTAGGGTTTAGGGTTTAGGGTTTAGGGTTGGTGGCTGCCGGTGTTTGAGGGCTCGGGCCTTGCTTTCAAAGCTTGCCCGCATTCCGGAGCAAGGGCGTCTTTCAAGGTTAGTTTAGCGTTTGGGGTTTGGGGTTTAGGGTTTCGGTTTTGGGGGTAGGGTTGGGGGTTTGGGGTCTCGAGTTCTATAGGGGTTTGGGTTTAGGTGTGGTTTAGGGCTCGAGGCACGTCGCAAATTTGGGGCTTGAGAGATTTAGCCGTGGTGGTTTATACGGGTATAGGATGAGTATAACTAGTATACCTAGAGACCTCTATATAGTAGTGAATGCATAGGTAGCCTAGAAAAACGAAGCTGAAGTTTACGCTCCACCCTAAGCCCTCAACTCTAACCCCTACAGCCCTAAGCCCTAAGCCCGAAGCCCTAAGCCCTAAGCCCTAAGCCCTAAGCCCTAAACCCTAAACCCTAAACCCTAAGCCCTCACCTCTGAGCCCTTAAACCCTAAACCCGAGAGTGCCCCTTTCAACCTCCGAGTGCCCGGCGTCAGGCAAGTTGAAGATGGACAGCTTCGGCGAGGGGCCCTGCCACTCTTGGTTGTCAGTGTCCCTGCACCCTAAGCCCTACACCCTAAGCCTTAAAGCTTGAACCCTAAACCCTAAACCCTAAACCCTAAACCCTGAACCCTAAACCCTAAACCCTAAACCCCAAACCCTAAACCCTGCGGTTTACACCGATGCTGACACTCCGAAGTCTAGGACGCGGCAGAACACTAAACCCTCGACCCTCCTCAGCGGTTGCCTCCCTTCCATCGAACCCTTCCCCCACCCCAAACCCTAAACCCTAAAGCCTAAACCCTAAACCCTAAACCCTGAACCCTAAACCCTAAACCCTAAAGGACCTGGAACCCCAAACCGTCGAACCCATGAGCCCGAAGCTCTCAACCCCTGCGACAACTGAACTTGGAACCCCGGAACCCCAAAACCCGACAGGGAGTTCTATTGGGGCATTTCTCAAAAGTACGGGTTTAGGGTTTAGGCTTTAGGGTTTAGGGTTTGGGGACCACATATACTGCATTCCCCTACAGAAAGACAAATAAGTACCCGAAGACTCTGCCAAGAGGGCTCAATTCCACCAGGTCCCACCACTTTCAAACCCTAAACCCTAAACCCTAAATCCCAAACTCCAAGCCCTAAGCCCTACACCCAAACAAACCACAAACTCTAAGCCCTAAACTTTCAAACCCTGAAGCCCAAATCCCAAACTCTAGGCCCTAAACCCTGAACACTAAACCCCAAACAAACCCCAAACTCTAAGCCCTAAACCCCCAACCCCAAACCCTATATCCCAAACTCTAAGCCCTAAACCCTAACCCCAAACCCCAAACCCCAAACCCTAAACCTAAACCCGAAAACCTAAACCCTAAACCCTGAACCCTGAACCCTAAACCCTAAACCCCAAACCCCAAACCCTAAACCCCAAACCCCAAACCCTAAACCCTAAACCCTAAACCCTAAACCCTAAACCCCAAACCCTAAACCCTAAACCCTAAACCCTAAACCCTACACAACCCCTCTTTTCCGGGAACCTGTGGCATGGGCATGCCCCGCGAGTCCGTAGCCCCGCCGATCAGCTTGGCCATGGTCCTGCACGTAAGGGTTCCTAAGGGTTTTAAGGGTTTAGGGCTTAGGGTTTGGGGTTTAGGGTTTAGGGATGGTTTAGGGTTCCTAAGGTTTTTCGGGTTTAGGGTTCTTAGGGTTTTTAGGGTTTAGGGCTTAGGGTTTGGGGTTTAGGGTTTAGGGTTTGGGGTTTAGGGTTTAGGGTTTAGGGATGGTTTAGGGTTTAGGGTTTGGGGTTTGGGGTTTAGGTTTAGGGTTTAGGGGTTTGGGGTTTGGGGTTTAGGGTTTAGGGTTTGGGGTCTGGGGTTTAGGGTATAGGGTTTAGGGTGTAGGGTTTAGGGTCTGGGGTTTGGGGTTTAGGGTTAACAAAAGCCACTCCCACTGCTAGTGGTTAAGGGAGAAGGGTTTTGGGTGTTGGTTTGCCTTACTTGCTCCACTGACTCGGAGCTTCGCGCCTCCCCAGCTACCTCCCTAAGGACCCAGGTTCCGGACTTCTGTGTTTAGCGGTTAGTTAGGGCTTTCGGGTTTTGAGTTTAGGGTTTGGGGCTTAGGGTTCAGGTTTTAGGGCCACAGGCACAATCATGCTCTATACTGCTGCTTCATGATTGCCCACGGGCATAGACAGCTCTACCCCCGGCATACCTTTCTGAAAAAAAGTGTGTAGGGACGGGGGATGAGAGACGCAGAGGATGTAAGGCCAGCGGACAGCACCGGCTCCCTAATCAACCCCCGAAGCAAACCCTGAACCCCCCAAACCCTGAACCCTAAACCCTGAACCCTCAACCCTAAACCCTAAACCCTAAACCCTAAACACCCCCCAAATGTAGGTGTTGACCATCTGGGGCGCGGACACTTCGTGCAGGTTGATTCGCACTGAGGGATCCTCCCAGAGGAGAGGAGTCGCACTTTCTTGGGGGGAGAGGGTTTAGGGTTTAGGGTTTAGGGTTTAGGGTTTAGGGTTTAGGGTTTAGGGTTTAGGGTTTAGGGTTTAGGGTGTGGGAGTGTGAGTTTAATGTTTATGTGGAACACGATCGACTACTTGGAGGTTCAGGGTTCAGGGTACTTAGTAACCCATGACAAGTGTAGTGATAACTCGCATATATGACCCTGGTAGGGTTATAATTGGGCTACAAGTACAGTCATAGTTGGGCTACTAAGTACCATGAACCTCCAAATACTGATAACATCAACAATCAAAACAACAAGGCCTTCTGCAGCGGCCGGGCATTACAATCCTCTGCTCAAATCGCCTAAACCCTAAACCCTAAACCCCAAACCCTAAACCCTAAACCCTAAACCCAAGGATTGGGGCCCTTGCTTACAGTCTCAAGTTGCGGGCTCCGCGAGCCAGCTCCACCACAGGTGTCCGTTTTACGCGTACGTCCAGGAACACGTATGCGGAATCACAAAAACCCGAATATGGGGCCCTTGAGAATTAGAACAGGGTTTGGGGTTTAGGGTTTCGGGTTTGGAGCTTAGGGTTTGGGGTTTGGGGTTTGGGGCTTAGGGTTTGGGGTTTAGGGTCTTGGGGGTGATTATGGTATAATTCTGAACGGACCATACGGGACAACTCTTAGTAATTATTCCGACCCCTATAGTGCGCAGAAACCCTACCCCCGCAAGCCTTCCAAAGCTGAAGCCTCTGCACACACATCGCCCTCAACCGAGGGGGTTTAGAGTTTATAGGGGTTGGGGTTTAGGAACCCTAAACCTAAACCCTAAACCCTAAACCCTAAACCCTGAACCCTGAACCCTGAATCCTAAATATGAGCACAACACCAAAACCCTCAACACAGCGCGCGCCTGTCCATCTGCGGGCTTGGTAAAGGGGTCAGGTCTCTTCACAGTGACCTGCGGCTTCATCTTGTGTGTGTGTGCAACCCTAAACCCTAAACCCTAAACCCTAAACCCTAAACCCTAAACCCTAAACCCTAAACCCTAAACCCTAAACCCCAACAACGAGCCTCATGTGTCGAGTGTTTTTGGGGGCTGCGGGGTGGAACGTCCTTCTGAAGATCATGATGCTCCAGCTGCTATGTAGCATGAGGTTTAGGGGTACGAGTTGAACCCTATTACTGGCTGGTTCTTAGTAGGGAATGAGGGAGTGAGGTCCCTACATCATCCCTTAAAGGGCATAGTTCGAGCCCTCATTTTCGAGCCCTCACTAAGAATCAGGGAGTTTAGGGTTGGGCTTCGTGCTTTGACGCTCGCGCTGCCTGGGGCTTCATCAGGGGTTAGGTTTTTGGGTTCAGGGTTCAGGGTTCAGGGTTTAGGGTTTAGGGTTTAGGGCTTCAGTATGTCGATTTTTTGTCTTTGAAGATTGTGACGCGGCATACTGTTGACGACTACAGCCTCGTGAAGGCTTCGCAAAAGAAGAGCGGGGGGTCGGGTTCAGGCATTAGGGTTTGCGGTTGGGGGTTCAGGGTTAGTCCCCAAACCCTAAACCCTAAACCCTAAACCCCGAAACCCTAAACCCCCCAGGGCGCGGACCTTGTGGCCCTTGTACTCAATGCCGTTCAGCTTCATGCCGACGGAGGCACCGTCGGGAGTGCGGAACTTCAGCTCGGCACTCTTCCTTTCAGCTCGGGGATTCGGGTTCGAGCCAATCTGAACCCTAAGTAAGGGTTTAGGGTTTAGGGTTCAGGGTTTAGGGTTTAGGGTTTGGGGTTTAGGGTTTAGGGTTTAGGGTTTAGGGTTTAGGGTTTAGAATTTAGGGTTTAGGGTTTAGAGATTTGGGTTTAGGGGTTTGGGGTTGACTCATGGGGGCTTAGGATCTCTCACCGTCTCCCGAACATCCCGAGGAGCCGAAGCCCTTAAACCCTCAAAAACCCAAAACCTTAAACCCCTTAAATCCCTCAAAGCCCATAAATACCCCAAAGCACTTCAAAGCCTTAAACCCTTTAGCGCTCGCTCGTTGTCTCCATGTTCTCGTAGAGCGGGGGCATACACTCAAGCATGTGGTCGGCAAGGGCTTCGGTCCGCGTCTGTGCCACCGCCCCAAAACCCTCAACCCTAAACCCTAAACCCTAAACCCTGCTTACCGAGGAAGCCCTCAGCTAAGTTGGAATGTCAATCTGCTTGTGGTGCTTGTCCGTCAGGTCGTTCAGGGCAGTGGCGAAGATGGAAATCTCGGCATCAAAATACTCAACCCGTAAATCTCTTGAAGCCATCAAAGCCCTTAAATCCCTCAGAACCCTTGAGCCCCTAAACACCCTAAACCCTTAAAGCTCTTGAAAATCTCGTTTAAGTCCTAACCATTACAGCCCTCACAACCCGTAAAGCCCGCATTGAAGCCCTCAACACACTAAATCCCCAAAGCCTAAGATGCCCAACAAACCCAAACCCTAAATCCTTAATTGGTTAGGTGCTAGGGTTTAGGGTTTAGGGTCGAGGGCTTGGGGTTACACTTCGGGTTACGGGGAGTTTGGGGTAACATCGGGGCCTAGTTTGGGATGCACGACCTGCAAGTCTGTCAACTACAGGTCCCTTGTTGGATAGCGGGCCATCATTAAACCCTAAACCTAAACCCTAAACCCGAAACCCTAAACACGGGAGTGCCGCACGCGATGACACTTGAACCCTGTGACTTGACTTCCAACCTTAGACACCAGACCCTCAATGCTCAACCGACAGCCTGAAGCCCTACCTTAAAAACCCGAAATCTGCTTTTATTATTGGCTCTGATTATAAAACCCTTTACAGGATTCCCAGATAACCTACAAGAAAGTAGGTTTTTGGTTCTTAAGCCCTATAAGCCTTCGAATCCTGGGCCTGAGAACTGCAAAGATCGACTCTCAGCCCTGGAGCAGAGCACATTGATGCCCTGGAAGCCATGGAGCGCTTTAGATTTAGACCTTTTAATCACCCCGGAGCTCCGCAGGGTTGAGGGTGAGGGTTGAGGGTTGAGGGTTGAGGGTTGAGGGTTGAGGGTTGAGGGTTGAGGGTTGAGGGTTGAGGGTTGAGGGTTGAGGGTTGAGGGTTGAGGGTTGAGGGTTGAGGGTGAGAATCCTAAACCCTAAACCCTAAGCCCTAAACCCTGAACCCTAAACCCTAAACCCTACACCCGAAAACCTAAACCCTAAACCCTAAACCCTAAACCCTAAAACTCCGCTCTCCCGCACCTCTTGCTGCTGGCTCGGTCTTCCTCGGTGATGGTGCAGGCGAAGACGGGCGACATGTTTCGGTTGGCCGCCTGTTTCTTGCTGGCTCCTAGTAGGAGAGGAATTGGGGACCGTGAATCCCGTATCATAAGCTCTAACCCTAAACCCTAAACCCTAAACCCTAAACCCTAAACCCTCACCCTTTAAGTTCAGGGATTCGGGTACCTCGTTCCCTTACAGTCCCTGCTAAGAACCGGTGGGGTGTTCGGGATGAGCCGCTTCCGGGGGCTTATGGGTCCAACTTAGGGCTTAAGATGTAGGGTTTAGGGTTCAGGGTTTAGGGTTTAGGGTTTAGGGTTTAGGGTTAAGAGTAATACATGGGGGTTCCGGGAGTCGGGGTACTTGATTGAGGTCCTTATACAAGGGAATCCTACTATTTGGGGGTCTATTTTAGGGGCCCCTTATTATCGTAAACCCCCATGTAGGGTTTGATTAGTAGAATATGAAACTGAGCAGCAAAAAAATGGAGTGTAAGAGAAATGGCTGGGGGCTTAAGAGTAAAATTTAGTCTTAGTAGCCCAGTAACCATATTATAGTAAGGGCACCCTTTTTTGGGTTGGTTACTTTATAAGGGAACTCAGGACCCAAAAAAAAGGGAAAAGGGTACCACTGGGCTACCAAGTATAACCCTAAACCCTAAACCCTAAACCCTAAACCCTAAACCCTAAACCCTAAACCCTAAACCAGTAAAATTTAGGGCTTGGGGTTTACAGTTTCGGTAGGGGCTGGGGCTGGCGGAAACCTAGCTCAGACCTAAAGACAACACGCGCACCTTCTGGCACCCTAAACCACATAAGCCCCTAAGCCCTCCAGAGTTTGAGGTTTAGGGCTACGGTTTAGGGTTTGGGGTTTAGGGTTTAGGGTCTAGGGTTTAGGGTTTAGGGTTTAGGGTTTCGGGTTTCGGGCTTAGGGTTTCGGGTTTCGGGCTTCCCCCCCACCCTCCCCGCCGCCCAACCAAGCACCTGGTGCACAGCGTTGCCGGTCACCGCGAGGATGGCACCGTTGAAGAACTCGATGAGCTCCTGGTTCATGCAGAGGGGGTTCAGATTTGAGGGTTTGGAGTTTAGGGTTTAGGGTCTGGGTTTAGGGGTTTGGGGTTTAAGTTTCGGGGTCCTCAACAATAGCCTCTTTGGCGCAGGGATTACAGGGTTTAGAGGGTGCAGGGGGTGGAGGGCCTCACCCTCCCCAAGTACTTCCCTATAACCCCCCCCAACACCCACCCGGCATGAAAGACAAGCCGCACCCCTAAACCCTAAACCCTAAACCCTAAACCCGAAAGATCACCCACCGAATCAAAACCTCTAAGTACTGAGACCGCAGGCCCGCCAGCCTCCCAGTCCACAGGCGCCCCAACAACACACCAAAGGTTCAGGGCTTGTAGTGCTTGTAGTGCTGTTAATGTTAAGGGTTCAGGGTTCAGGGTTTAGGGTTTATGGTTTAGGGTTCTGGGCTTCGGGAACCCGAATGCCCCTGAACCTCTGAAACCACGGAGACCCTAAACCCTACAACACTACGAGCCTCAAACCCGAAAGCCCTACAACCCTGAAACCGTTAGGAGCAGCCCTAAACCCTAAGCCCTTAGGGTTTGGGGTTTGGGGTTAGGGTTTAGGGTTTAGGGTTTAGGGTTTAGGGAACCTGAAACCCTAAAGCCCCAAACCCGAAGGCGTCGGTCCTGGCCGGTGCAGCTAAGAGACCTCGGCAGATAAGGCAGCAGTTCCCTTTCGGGTTTAGGGTTTCAGGCTTTAGGGGTTTAGGGTTTCAGGCTTCAGGGGTTTAGGATTCGGGGTTTCGGGGTTTCGGAGTTTCGGAGTTTCGGGGGTTATGTAGGGTTTAGGGTTCCTGGACTCAGGGATTCAGGGTTTAAGGCTTTTAGGGGTTTGGGGATTAGGGATTATAGGGTTTAGGGTTCGGGGTTTAGGGTTTCGGGTGGCAGTCGTGTTCTGTATGGCAGTCTGGGATGCAATCGTCGCCAAATCTTTCCCACCTCAAGGCCTTTGCCGCCTCTCTACGATGCTAAACCCTAAACCCTAAACCCTAAACCCTAAACCCTACACCCTAAACCCAAACCCTCAGGGTCCATGCTAAGGGACCATGTGCCTGCCCGACATTGTGGGTTTTAGGGTTGACCTATTGCGATCATGCTGCGACTATTGGGGGAAGGAAAAAAAGCCTAGGGTTTCGGGTCCCCTTATCTAAGGTATAGGGTGTTAGCAAGGGGTCGGCTTAAAGGGGCCCTGGCACTGTTATCGCAGGAGCCAACCAACCCGAAACCCGAACAAGTGCTAGGATTTGGGGTCCAGCGTGGGGCTCAGGGACCTACAGCTCTTGGGATTCAGGGTCTGGGGTCTGAGGGTCTTGGAACCCTCAACCCGAAACCCTAACCCAACGAGCCCGGAACCCCAAACCCTTGAAGCCTGCTGTCTTCAGCTTAAGGTTTCGGGGCAGTACAGTACCACCAAGTGGGGTGGGGTTTAACGTGTAACCCTAAACCCTAAACCCTAAACCCTAAACCCTAAACCCTAAACCCTAAACCCTAAACCCTAAACCCTAAACCCTAAACCCGAAGAAGGCCGTACGGGTTTTGAAGCAGACCGCGAGTCGCCCTCGCCAGGTGCCGACGCACGAGGCCGGCGCGGCAGATAAGCATAATCTAGGGGCCTGAATATTTAGAATAGGGTTTCGGGCTTAGGGTTTAGGGTTTAGGATTTAGGGAATAGGGTTTATTTACAAGGGACCCTAATTAAGGGAAGACTACTAGTAATTATTCCGACCCCTACATACCTGAGGCAGACCTGCAAGAAGACTTTGTACAAAGGGCCCGGAAGGTGGCTTGGAGATGCTTGGCGACGGTTTTGCCTCCCGCTCTCCTGCAGAGCAAGCGGCCTCGGGTCCGCCGGTGTTCTTGGGGCGTTCGCCCCGGTTCTAAACCCCTAAACCCTAAACCCTAAATCGAGTCCAGAGAGATGGCTACCGAGGACTCTGGACCAGGATCTGCGAAGCCAGGCAGCAAGCCACTCTGACAATTTCTCTGAATGGGGAATGAGGGAAGTAGCGAATTGGGGTTTAGGGTTTAGGGTTTGGGGTTTGGGGTTTGGGGTATAAAATCCCCAATCTCTAAGGCTTACACGGGGGTTCCCTCCGAAACAGAAAGAGTAGGGAGGCTGGCGGCTTCAATCTTATTTCAAGAAGAAGCCTGCTGACAAAAGGCTGGAATCCTACCCCTAACACACCTGTACAAACCCTAGAAACCCTATCGCCTGCACCCTAAAATCCCTATAAACCCTATATCAACTAACCCTACAAATCCCATAAACCCAAGAAACCCTGAAACCCCAAACGCCCTAAACCCCTAATATAGAGGCCTTAATGATGAGAATAGGGCTTTGGGGATTATTCTAGTATAATTATAGAGGGACCATACGGGAAGACTAACAGTAATTATTCCGACCCAGTATCCCTAAACCTAAACCCTAAACCCTAACCCTAAACCCTAAACCCCTAAACCCCCACCGTGGCCCCGGAGTTTGCCGTGCCGGGCCGCAGATTCTCGAGGATCAGCGACCGCTGGATCATCTCTTCGTCTGAGAATCTGGGCCTCGAGAAATTAGGGTTTAGGGTTTAGGGGTGTGGGTTTAGGGTTTAGGGCAAAGTTTAGGGTTTAGGATGGACTTGATTCAGGGCAATGATAGGGTTGTTGTTGGGGCGTTTCAGCTTCATAAGCGCTACTCCACCTGGCCGTGGGTATCCACAACTACATGGAAAACAGTATACAGACCCAACCCTAAACCCTAAACCCTAAACCCCAAAAAACACATAATCCAGTTCAGCCCTCACATCACCCCGAACCCCTGGGCCCTAAGGCGGATCCAAGACTCGGGCTTTAGGCTTTAGGCTTTAGGCTGTATTAGGCTTGGGCTTGGGCTTAGGCTTAGGCTTAGGCTTAGGCTTCGGCCTAGGCTTAGGCTTAGGTTTATGGTTTAGGCTTTTGGGCTTTTTGGGTTTAGGGTTTAGGGTTTAAGGTTTAGGGTTTAGGGTTTAGGTTCTCAAGAGCCCCACACTCCGCCCAAGTGCAAGCGAAGGCGCATGGCTTCATCCGCCTCCGCCGCGGGTAGGAGCCCCGACCTCCCTCCCGGGATGGCCGTCATGGAAAATCCACCCTGGCGTCAGGGTTTAGGGTTTAGGGTTTAGGGTTTAGGGTTTAGGGTTTAGGGTTTAGGGTTCAGGGTTTAGGGTTTAGGGTTTAGGGCTTCGGGTTTCGGGTGTAGGGGTCCTTGGGCAGCTGCATGACCTCAAGCAGTTGGGGAATGTGGGGAGTTAGTCAGGGCACCGGAGGCACCTTCTGAAGAGTCTCCAGGGAAAGTGCAATTTCGTAACCCTTAACCCTAAACCCTAAAACCTGATCCGAAACACTACACCGTAAACTCTTAACCCCGAACACTAAACCCTAAACCGCCTATACTCTTAACCGTAGCAAAACCTAAACCCTAAACCCTGACACACTGAACCTTCCAGGGGCCCAAGCCTCCTAGAGGCCCTGTTGTGATGGAAGGTTAAGCCGTGCTCAGAACAGCTGCATTGGTTTAGGGTTTAGGGTTTAGGGCTTAGGGTTTAGGGTTTAGGGTTTAGGGTCCGCCGACCCTGGCGGCGTGTTGCGCGTTTTGGGGGGGGGGGGGGTCCATGGAGGGCCACCACCCACCCCCCCCCCCAGCCCCCCCCCAACCCCCCCCACCCACCCCCCACCCCCCCCCCCACCCCCCCCCCCCCCCCACCCCCCCCCACCCCCCCACCCCCCCGTAAGCTGGCTTCAGCTCCTGTTTGGGTCCTGGTGCTACCCCCTACCCCCCCCCCCCCCCAACGTTTATCCTTTGAGCTGACGAGCGCGTTTTAACCTTTCAACTATGCTCCGGCGGGGTCGGCGGCTTGAGCCGGAGGCTCTTAATTTAGGGTTTAGGGTTTAGGGTTTAGGGTGTATGCCCTGTGAAAGGGGGGGGGGGGGGTGGGCAGCTCTAGTTCTTGACACCGCACGGGCCGGTCTCGTGTGCGCCACCCTAAACCCTAAAGCGTCTAATTAGGGTTTAGGGTTTAGGGTTTAGGGTTTAGGGTTTAGGGTTTAGGGTTTAGGGTTTAGGGTTTAGGGTTTAAGGTTTAAGGTTAAACATCCTTCACACCTGAAGCCCCACCCTAAAACCCTAAACCCTCACACCCTTGAAGCCCTGAACCCCGAAACCCTAACGCCCCCAGACTAGTGCCCTAAACCGGTTTGGTGCTTAAGCCTTGGGGCGTTGGTGTTTAAGAGGGTTTAAACTTTCGTACGCCTTAAGACACAAATCAAGAGAGCCTGAACCCCACAACAAAGCGGGCCGGATGGGCTGTGTCGGGACCCCACTTGGACTTTCGCTTGCGCGTGCCTCCTGGGGACTCTGACCGCTTTCGCTTCTTGTCCTGCGAAAGCTTGAGGCGGAGAGCGTTCGGCATTGCGAGGTTGTCAGGCAAGTCCAAGAAATTGAACAGGCCCGCAAACCCCTAAACCCTAAGCCCTAAACACCCTACAAAATCCTGAGCCCTGAGCCATAAACCCTACACCCTTAACGCTCTCGAATCTGAGAGGCTCTTCAAGCTCCCCGTTGCGCACGGAAGAGAAAAACTGGGTCGAGGGTGCTGTGCAATCGAGGGTCCCTGTGCCAGGGTTTTTGACATGAAGAGCTTTGAAGGGTGGCTTCGGGTTTAGGGTTTAGGGTTTAGGGTTTAGGGTTTTGGGTTTTGGGTTTTGGGTTCTGGGTTTAGGTGGAAAGCTTCAGTGACAAGAGCACGAGGGTTGTTTTAATCGAGGGGTCCTTACAAATGGACCCCCCCGCCCACTAACCCCGAAACCCTAAGCTGGAAGAGAACCTATTTGGGTTAAGGGCCTCGGGACCCGAAACCCGAAATCCTAAACCCTAAACCCTAAACCCTAAACTGTAATCCCTAAGCAAAGTCCTTCTTCTTTTCGTCGCCATCGGCCTTCTCCTTCTTGATCTTGTCCTTTGTAGGGTTCAGGGTTGGGGGTGTACTTGGCTTTGGAGTAGACCCTGGAAAAAAAGTATATGCTTTTTAGGTATAAGTAGCTACACTAGGAACCCAGAAGCAAAAAAAGTATTAAAGTATAGTACTCCAAGACCCAGTGTAGGGTTTGGGGTTTACATGGAAAAAACTGACTAACATCGCCCTAGACTTATGTACATATACATCTTCAATACTTAATCCCTGTTCCCCTAGGAAGAAAAAAGGATCCTTTTTGTTCATATATAAGAAAGCCCATAACCCAAAAAGTAAAAAGGATCCTTAACACTGATCTAGAATAACCCAAGGGAAAGATGCTATATATACTTCCTGGCCCAAAACCCAAGGAAATAAAAGTTGAAACTTTCAGAATCGACTACCTGAAAAGAAGCCCAAAAGTTGAAAAGTTGGGTTTTGAGCCAGTAAGTATATATATATATATATAGACTTTTGCACTTCCAGATACAGGAATCCCAAAATGTTAGAGTTCGACTGGCTAGCTAAGCAAGTCGAAACGGGAGTCGAGACAACCTTACCGAGCTCCCACATCCATCATTGAAGGCCCCCGTCCTGGCGTTAAGGTTTAGGGTTTAGGGTTTAGGGTTTAGGGTTCAGGGTTCAGGGTTCAGGGTTCAGGGTTCAGGGTTCAGGGCTTAGGGCTTAGGGCTTAGAGTTTAGGGTCCTTCTTTTTCTTCTTCTTGGATCTGGACCTGGCACGGGGCGGTCCAACACGCACCAGGGTCTCACAATCGGCATCCCATCGTTTGCCGGTTCAAGAAATGCAGTGTTTAGGGGCTCTTGGGGCTTAGACCCCAAAAGCCATAAACCCTAAACCCGTTGAGGGTTTAGGGTTTAGGGTTTAGGGTTTAGGGTGTAGGGTGTAGGGTCTAGAGTGTAGGGTGTAGGGTTTAAGGTTAACCCACCAAGTTCCAGATACTCATCCCCAAAGGCGGGATCGGGTAGGTGCCTTCGCGACCTCGAAGAAAGCGGCCAGCCGTTGAGCCAAAACCCTCTAAAGGCCCCCCCCTCGTGAACCGTAGGCCCCGAGTCCTGCACTGCTTTAGAGTTTTAGGGGTTTAGGGCTTTGGGTGTTTAAGGCCCCAAAAAAGCACATAAGCAAAAGGATAGGGATATCCCATATAAACCCCCCTTATAATGAAGCCCACTAAGGTAGGGATATCCCTATAACATGCTTATGCTTGTGTCCTTTTTGGGTCCCAACATTTTAAAGTTGGGTTTAGGGTTTCGGGTTTCGGGTTTCGGCCTTTCCGCTCGATCCTGGCATCAAAAAACCCGCAGCCTCCTAGCCCAATCTCCTAACACTTGACAAACCTGTGAGCCGGAGATGGCCCGATAGGGTTTAGGGTTTAGGGTTCCTAAACCCTAAACCCTAAACCCTAAACCCTAAACCCTGAACCCTAAACCCTAAACCCTGAACCCTAAACCCTAAACCCTAAACCCTAACCTTGGAGTAGACCCTGGAAACAAAGTATTTCCTGGTATAAGTAGCGATAATAGGAACCCAGAACCCCAGAAACAAAAAAAACATCAAAGTACAGTACTCCAAGACCCAGTTTTTGTGGGGAGGTCCTACCTGGGTACCCAACACATACTGTGGGTGGGGGGGGGAGGTTCTCTAAACCAAAATGGTTTGGAGGCTCCCTTCCCACCCACTATACGGAGCCCTGTGTTTAGAACCCAAAACCCTAAGCCCTAAAAGGTAAACCTTGGCACCTAAGTCCAAAACAAACTTGACCTAACCCGAAACCCTAAACCCTGAACCCTGAACCCTAAACCCTAAACCCTGAACCCTAACTGACCGGGCCTTTCTCTCTTCGACTCGCCTTTCACGCCCTCGCCTTTCACGCCTTCGCCCTTGGCTTCACCTTTGGTCTCTCCCTTCACTTCGCCCTTGGCACCCTGCCAAAGGCTGGCCCTAAACCCTAAACCCTAAACCCTAAACCCGAAACCCGAAGCCCTAAACCCTAAACCCTAAACCCTAAACCCTAAACCCTACAAGATTGCCGGCTCGGGATGGAAGCTTCAGGACTACGCCAAAAAAACCACAGGGGGGGTACGTCGGGGCTCGTTTGGGCCTGGAGATTTGGGGGCGGAGGGCTTGCTTAGGGCTGAGGGCTGAAGGCTTGGCCTGGGCTTTGGGGTTTAGGGTTTAGGGTTTCGGGTTTAGGGTTTAGGGTTTAGGGCTTAGGGTTTGGGGTTTGGGGTTTAGGGTTTAGGGTTGAGGGTTGAGGGTTGAGGGTTGAGGGTTGAGGGTTGAGGGGTGGAGGGCTTTTAATCTTCGGGCGAGCCTTGACCTGCGGGAGCCACGGCCCTGACTCCTACATTCATCTGAACCCTCGGCCCACCTGCCCATCGAACATCCAAAGCCGGCAGAACCCTAAAACCCTCAAATCCCTAGAGCCCCCAACACTAAACGCCCCAAAGCCACCCAGGCCCTATCAAGAAACACCCTGAACCCTATACCCTCAACCCTAAACCCCTGAAGCAACTACACAACCAGGAGAGCGCCTCACCCTTTGTTGCCAGCGCGTAGAAGTCTTCACGCTTAGTGCCTTCCATCTTCATCTCGTTCTTCACCTTTTCAGCTTCAGCGCTTTCGGTTAGGAATTGGTGCTTTTCGGGGGGGTCTCAGTCTAGAGATTTACGCCTAGGCTTCGTCCTCAACCCTAAACCCTGAACCCTAAGTCTATGCAAGGATCCGAGCCATCGGATCAGTTCCCTCCTCCCGCCCACCGCCCCTGAGAGGCGAGCATCCTCCTCATTTCGCTTCTCCAGCTTCACATTTCCTTCGGTGGGGCATCGGGTTCAGGGTGTAGGCTGGTCAGGGTTTGCACTGTTTAGGGTTTAGGGTTGAGGGTTTAGGATGCGAGGTGCCCCTCTAAAACTGCAACAAACGGTGCTCGCAGAGGGGACCTTCTTGCTTGACTCCTTCGCCCTTGACGCCTTCGCCTTTCACGTTGTCGATCTTGATGTCCTTCGAGCTGGCATCTTCAGAGCATGAAGCTACTGTTTCTTAGTACGGGAGAGGAATGAGGTACCCTAATCTCAAAAAGGGTACAAGTGGTAGGGAGATGAGGTACCCCAATCCCTAAACCCTAAACCCTAAACCCTAAACCCTAAACCCTAGACCCTAGACCCTAGACCCTAAACCCTAAACCCTACCCCAATCCCTTACAGGGTATATACCAGTGGGATGGAGTCGTGGGCTTCAACAACAACGGACACAAAGAAAGGCCCTAGGGTTTAGGGTTTAGGGTTTAGGGTTTGGGGTTTAAAGGTTGAGGTTCTAGGGTTTAGGGAGGCCCAACCTTCTCCTCCTCCTTCTTCTCCTGCTTGACCTGACGATGTTGGCAAGAAGATCGAGGCTCGGCCGAACTGCGCATGTCCGGCCTTGGCATCAAGGTCCTCCTTCTTTATGGTGCTGCCATCCTGGAGAAAAAAGCTACCCTAAACCCTAAACCCAAAACCCTAAACCCAAAACCCTAAACCCTAAACGGTCCGTGTGTGCAAGATGCTGAGTGTGGAATGGAGGAAGGCTACAGTAAGCATCGTGTGCAACCCAAAGAGCAGAATACCCTTTTTATCAGGAATACGCCTTAATTAAGTGGCGTACGGCTTGTTACGAAGCTAAAGGCAATTCCCTAAACCCCCAACCCTAAACCCCATTCCTTCAGCGGAATGGGGATCTCTGGGAATACCAACCACAGGATAAACAAAAGCCTTCCCCTGGAACCCAACGCCACGGAAACCCAGGAGGCCCGTAAACCCCCTGCCAAGCCCTAAACCCAACCCCTCCAACCCTAAACCCCTAAACCACAGACCCTAAACACCTAAACCCTAAGTCCCAAACCCCAAAACTCTAAACCCCTAAACAAGCACCCTCTTATAAGGGACCCGAGCAAGTGGCTGTTTTGGGGGCTACTTGAGCAGCATGGCGGGACAAGGTACAGACATGTTTAGGGTTTGGGATTTCGCTAGGGTTTAGGGTTTAGGGATTTGCTGTAAATTTGGAGTCATTCCCAAAAACCCAATACCCCTTAACGATCATACCTTAAATCATATGAAGGTTCCTTAATAACAAAGAGGTATCGGTCGAGGCATCAGGATTCATGTTACATGCGGAGCGAAGCGCCAAGCACGCCAGACAACCTCTCTGGAGCACTTCTACCTAAACCCTAAACCCTAAACCCTAAACCCTAAACCCTAAACCCTAAACCCTAAACCCTAAACCCTAAACCCTGAACCCTGAACCCGGAACCCTAAACCCTAAACCCTAAACCCTAAACCCAATTCAATCTAGGGTTGCTGTTGGGGGCTGTGGGAAACAACAGCTCAGAGGCTCAGAGTTCCAGAACTTCCTGTCGCTGCGGCTCTGCCATCAAACAGAAGTGCCCAAGGGCTTATCTATACCCCCTTAGAACCTTTGTTTAGGGTTTAGGGTTTAGGGTTTGGGTTTATATAAACATGGATTTTTCATATCCTCTTAGGTTTTAAATAAACAAAAATTTAAAAAGAAATAATTCCCAAGGGGATATAGGTATATCCAACATGCTGCAGCGGGCTCCCCGAACATGGGTCGGCAACGGCACTCCTACGGCTCGAGCCCCCTGGTGCCTCAGAGTACAGGAAATGCCCTCGCTTTTAACAGCAGCTTAGGGTTTAGGGTTTAGGGTTTAGGGTTTAGGGTTTAGGGTTTAGGGTTTAGGGTTTAGGGTTTAGGGTTTAGGGTTTAGGGTTTAGGGTTTAGGGTATTAGGGTTTAGGGTTTAGGGTTTAGGGGCACTAATCATAATGCCGACAATCGTACTACCAACTAGAATACTCACCGGAAGACTAAGAATCCTAGTAGCACCTGTGGGAACTGCGACAACGCCATGCTTGCTTTTTTGCAGAGTCTGGTCGGAGACGATTGAGGGTCCAATTGGCTCATCTTGCCCATGCCGCGTTCGGCGCCTCAAACTACTGTTTTCTCAAGAACCCTCCTAAAAAACAAAACAGATTCCTCCTTGTAAGGCTGTATAGCTTGGTAGCCCAGTGACCATATCAGAATGAGGGCAGCCTTTTTGGGGTTGGTTACTTTATAAGGGAACCCGGAAGGGTAAAGGGCACCACTGGGCTACCAACATAGGGATTCTTACGGGGGTTGGTTACTTTATAACGGGAACCCAGAACAAATGAAAAAGGTTACCACTGGGCTACCCAGATAGGGAGTCTATCTGGGGGTATCAAAGGGGTGCCCCTGTTTCGGGAAATGCCCATATGTCATACTATGACGATTATGCTGAGGCCTTAAGGGCGTTCCTAAAGTTCCTGAACCCTAAACCCTAAACCCTAAACCTTCTACAGCCATGCCAGCGATTGGCTGGTCAGGCGCACTCACCGCTACAGGCACACCCATGACCCCGAAGGCCCCCCAAAATCATCTCGGTTTAGGGTTTAGGGTTTAGGGTTTCGGGTTTAGGGCTTGGGGCCTAGGGTTTAGGGTTTAGGGTTTAGGCCTCTCTCTACTTTCAGGCCGAAGAAAGCCGTGCTGAGGTACGTGCACCCACCTTCGGAGAGAACCCTGACCCCTAAAACCGACGGTCCCGAAGGATCCATGTACCTATAGTATATACTGGGTCCCCCCAAAAGCTACTGCATTTAGGAACCCCCTGAAGGGCCCTAACATATGACGTATGGGTATTTCCCAAAACAGGGGCGCCCCTTTGATACCCCTAAATAGATACTAGGATGGCCCTTTAAGACCCTCTGACAAATATTCCTAAATTTGAACCTGTAAAACCCAAGAAGGGAAAACATAAAATGTCCCAAGGGCCTACATTGAATAGAATCCCCTCAAAGGGTGTCCCCCAAAAAGGGTACCCATATTTTCGGAATCCTCCATATGGGTGCATCGATGTAGGCCGGTCTACTACACCAAGGGTTTAGGGTTTAGGGTTTAGGGACTGACGGCCCGAGCATGCCTCAATCTTGACGGTGCCTTGCATGAAGCCGGCTGGGTCGGCCATGACCTGAGGTTTCGGGTGCTCTTGCTGGAGTGGGGTTTGGGGGTTTAGGGTTTAGGGTTTAGGGTTTCGGGTTTAGGGTTCAGGGTTTAGGGGTTACGGGTTAGGGGCTGGGGTCTTATAGAGTTTGGGGAAAGAGGTTTGCAACAAAAGGACGGAGCCTTCTAGGTACGCCAATCTTGGAAAAGTTCGTTCGTGGCCTTGATCGATTTCATATTGGGTCATGCGCCTGTGGATAAGGGACCACTGGCATGGCCCTTGAGTACACTCAGGCGCCAATACTTGCGTAATATAGGCGTCTTAAGAACTAGAATAGTTCTTTTTGTGATTTTTTTTGGGGGGAGGGTAGGCGGGTTATTGTAGTACAATTCTAAAGGTACCCTAAGGAAAGACTGTTCGTAGTTAATCCGACCCTATAGTCCCCGAGGGCAAGACCGAAAACCAGAAGATCAGCACCAGAGCTATCTGCCACAGTGTGCCCTCTGCACTACAGACCGAAAGCCACGGGACCAAAGGGGGAACCCTTACAGGGGACCTTACTTAGGAGAGACTATATAAGGTATATTATGCAAGGGGTTATAGGAGACCCACATGCATCCTCACGCCTAGGTTCAGGGTTTAGGGTTTAGGGTTTAGTAGGACTTGGCAGATAAACATCCGAGCTGCAACCTTGGCAGATTCGCAGAATTCCTCAAAATTTGATCCCTTGAACACTTTCCATACTCTGGAGACTTGTACCGCGGGCCCCTAAACCCTAAACCCTAAACCCCAAACCCCAAACCCCAAGCCCAAACCCTAAACCCTAAGCCCCATGGAGCCATGATTTGAAGAGCCGCCTGAACCAAAAGGGTCCATGTGCCTGGCTCCCACTGTGGTCAGGGTCTAGCCCATGGGGACTCTAAGCCATCTACCATATGAGTTCCTGTTTTCTTTGGGTTTAGGGTTTAGGGTTTAGGGTTTAAGGTTTAGGGTTTAGGGTTTAAGGTTTAGGGTTTAGGGTTTAGGGTTTAAGGTTTAGGGCTTAGGGATACATAAACCTGCATCACCGCAACAAAGCTACCCCCTAGGGCACCCTGAGGACTACGCCCTAAACCCTAAACCCTGAACCCTAAGACCCAAGCCCTAAACCCTAAACCCCAAACCCTAAACCCCAAACCCTAAACCCGAAACCCTAAACCCTAAACCCTAACCCAAAACGCAAAGCCCTGCAACACCAGGCGAAAAGATCCGGTGCCTCATCGCCATCTTCAGGCTTCTCTGTTTTCACCTCGTGGTCTAGTTTAGGGTTTAGGGTTTAGGGTTCAGGGTTCAGGGTTCAGGGTTCAGGGTTCAGGGTTCAGGGTTCAGGGTTCAGGGTTTAGGGTTTAGGGTTTAGGGTTTAGGGTTTAGGGTTTAGGGTTTAGGGTTTAGGGTTTAGGGTTTAGGGTTTAGGGTTTAGGGGTTAGGGGTTAGGGGTTAGGGGTTTAGGGTTTAGGGTTTAGGGCTAGGGTTTAGGAAGACAGCTTCAGCTGGGCGGCTGCTGCTTCTATCAGCCTGCGGTACGCAGTATGGTGCTTGGACCCAGAAGGATATGTCCCAAAGCAGGGGACCCTCCCACATGCCCTCTGAAACCTAAACCCTAAGCCCTAAGCCCTAAACCCTAAACCCTTAAACCCTAAACCCTAAACCCGACATCTCCAAGAAGGGGCCCCCCTCCCCATGCAGGTTTTGTAAAAAAAACACGCCTCTTGGAAGAGGGGGGAACGTTTCACACATGAAAACCCCAGAAGCTCCAAAGGTGTCGGAGTCCTTAGGTGGTTCATCGGGTTTACAAGTCGCAACTCTACATCATCCTGAATCAGTACATGAGCCTAAACAAGCCCTAAACCCTGAACCCTGAACCCACCAAACCCCCAAACCCACCAAACCCCCAAACCCCCAAACCCCAAACCCCAAACCCCAAACCCCAAACCCCAAACCCTAAACCCCAAACCCCAAACCCTAAACCCTAAACCCCAAACCCAAACCCTAAACCCTAAGCCCTAAACAGGCCTTCACGTCTGCACTGGGATCTACGGTGGCGTCCGCCATCGCTGCGGCGCGGGCCCACGAAGCTCGAGCCGCAAAAAAGAGGGGAGCCGCCGGTGAGTGTAGGGTTTAGGGTTTAGGGTTTAGGGTTTAGGGTTTGGGGTTTGGGGTTTAGGGTTTAGGGTTTAGGGTTTAGGGTTTAGGGTTTAGGGTTTAGGGTTTAGGTTTTATGGTTTAGGGTTTAGGGTTTAGGGTTTAGGGTTTAGGGTTTAGGGTTTAGGGTTTAGGGTTTAGGGTTTAGGGTTTAGGGTTTAGGGTTTAGGTTTAGGGTTTAGGGTTTAGGGCATAGGGCATAGGGTTTAGGGTCTTGGCTAGTATGGCCCTTAAACCCCTCTGAAACATAATCGCAAATAGCCACTCTAAAACCGAATAAGGGAGAACATAAAACCGAGGGACTACCTAGTTGCGAATGGCCAGTGGATGATGATGTGAGGCTTTCTCTGGGAGGGGATTGAAGAATGTTGAAGATTCTTTGGGGTTTGGGTTTGGTTGGGTTGTTTAGGGTTAAGGGCGTTTCATAATTAAGTTTAGTGTTTGGGAGGTTTGGTGGGGTTAGCGCATCTGGTCGGTATCTGCAAACCAGCTGCTCAAATCTTGGAGCTCTTTTTGGAATTCTGAATCGCAGAACACAGGACTATCTGAACACCAAAGTTCGGCTAGCCACACATGGTGGTCTAGGGCTAGGGTTCAGGATGTAGGGTTTAGGGTTTAGGGCTTGGGGTTTAGGATTCAGGGTTCAGGGGCCTGCTGTGAGGTGGAGCTTTGTTGGGTAGTTTCAAGAGTGTCAACCAGATCCAAGTGAGACAAGGATAGGGAAGAGAGAACGAAGTGAGCGAACCGCACCTGGCTGTTACCTTCGCGACTCAGCTGATCAACTCCATCTTAACTTAGGATTCTCACCCCTAAGCCCTTTGGGAACTAATTCTCGCGAAGCTGAGGAGAAACCGCAGGTCAAGACTCAAGATAAGAATGAAGAGAAAGAATTCTAGGGTGAAAAGACAGGATAAGACTTCAGATGCAACAGTCGGGTTCTTCAACCTCTCAGGCTCTCAGGATCTCACGTGTTATGCACCCCCCCCCCCTCCGTACTCCTCCAATATCCAAAAACACGCTGTCAGAATTGTACTAGTCCAAGGAACACCAGAACAAACCAATAAAGCACGCTTGCGGCCAGAACAAACCATTAGATAAATCCCTGGACCCCACCCCAATATAAGCTAAACACAACATAACAAATCAATAAAATACACAAACACATGACACAACTAAAACAACAAACTACACAGTTATAACGCAAAGTCTGACAAGCACACACCGGAAGGAGAGAGAGAGAGAGAGAGAGAGAAAAAAAAAAAAGAGAGAGAGAGAGGGAGAGGGAGAGAGAGAGAGAGAGATATAGATAGAGCGAGAGCGAGAGCCAGAGCGAGAGCGAGAGAGTGAGGGGGGGAGGTGGAAATAAAACACAAACAGCTCTTGGAATCGAAGCCTCAAGCCCAAACCCCACACCATTGGAACCCGAGGGGCTCCCACACACCGCCTTTTTGGTATGCCGCTGGCCCTAGGTGTTCTGGGCAGTTTGGGCAGCTCCTGTCGGCGATCGGGCTTTAAGGGAGTAGGGGAACCAGGTAACGTACATCAGGCTCCAGCAGTTTAGGTCAGGGTTGAGGGCTTAAGTCAGCTCTTCACGGCTTCAGGGTTTAGGGTTTAGGCCTTATTTGGAAGGACTTTTGGTCTCCAGAGCCTCCAACCGTTCGGGGCTTACGCCCCAAACCATGCACCAAAACAGCTAAGCTAACTGGCTTACTGGCTGAGCTTCCAAGGGAGAAAAAGGCTTCACCTTTGGGATATCAGGAGATGTTTCCGCTACCTATACCCCCTGGTTCTTAGTAGGGAATGAGGGAATGAGGTACCCTATATATATATATTATATTATATATTATATATGATATATATATATATATATTATAAACCTTTAAGGGACCATACACGGTGCCTCATTCCCTCATTCCCTACAAGTACTAAGAACCAGCCTTCCGAGCTACGGGGGTTTGAGAGCTTTTGGGGGCTTGGGGGGGTAGAGGGTTTCAAGGCTAAGGCTTGAGGGTCTGGGGGTTTAGGGTTTAGGGTTTAGGGCTTAGGGTTTAGGGTTTAAAGGTTTAGGGTTTAGGGTTTAGGGTTCAGGGTTCAGGGTTTAGGGTTTAGGGTTTAGGGTTTAGGGTTTAGGGTTTAGGGTTTAGGGTTTAGGCTTCAGGGTTCAGGGTTCAGGGTTTAGGGTTTAGGGTTTAGGGTTTGGCCTACGCCATTGTGAGCACAAGCCCAAAGCGGTGGCCGCTGGATCTTGAGCATGGTTCAAGCACGTGAAGCGCAGGGCAGGATGCCTAAAAGTGTCTACAAGGGCATCTCTCTGAGAGCCCCAGGGCCCTTAGTCCTGAGCAAAGCGCGCCAGGGTTTAGGGACTCTAGGGCTTATAAGGGTGTAGGGTCTTAGGGGTTTAGGGTTTGCCCCTCCTTCCCTGAACCCTAAACCCCACAGAAGATGGCGCTCCTCTGGATTTCTCGGCAAGGCTCAGGCGCCCGGATTCCGGCGCATGACAGGCGCCTGCCAGGCTCAAGAAGCTGAAGGCTTCCAAGGGCTGTTTAGGGGCTGCTAGGAGGTGTTAAGGAGCTTCATGAACACGAAGCCCGAAACCCTAAACCCCACACCCGAAACCCTGAACCGCCTAAAACCTCCTTCTGAGAGGGAAGGAGCCGAAAGGCTTGAAGGGGGGGGGGGGGGGCTTCGGCTTCGGCGTTTGGGGTGTCCGATTCGGGATGTCTGGTCTTGGGAGGGGAGCACTTCTATGTATACACATATCTACATATATATATATATATATATAGATATATATATATATATTCTTGATGTATATGTATTTATATATATATATATATATATCT